TTCATGAAGAAGTTCAAAACATGTTTGTTGACTTACTGACTGACAGACTAAGTCTGCCCGCCTTATGTCGGTCTACAACGTTACACTCTATCCTATGCCTCCTGCTGAGTTTTACATTCCTGCTGTGATGCAGGCCATGCGATCTGGAGCTAGACCCCCTCAGTTGGAATCCTGGCTGTGCCATTGCCTAGCTGGGTGACCTTGGGCTTGGTTTTCTAGTATGTGAAATGGGGATGGCAACTGTACCTACCTATGTGGCTTGTTACAAGTGAGGCCATCTCTGTACGTCATTCAGAGAAGTGCCTTGGACTAGTCAGTTCTGTCAACATCAGGACTAGGTACGCACCTGGTGAGGCCACGTGGGGGCGGTGGTTGAGAGCCCAGTGGGGCTCTGCAGCTAGAACATCTGATTCAAATCCACTAGCTCACCAGCCACTGTGTGACCTTGGCCAGGTTCTTTAACCTCCTTGTGCCTCCGTTTCCTCATCTATAAAATGGGGAAATAATAATACATATCTAACAAGCTTTTGAGCAAGCTGTATTTATTTATTTATTTATTTAGAGACAGAGTCTTACTCTGTCGCCCAGCCTGTAGTGCAGTGGTGCAATCTTGACTCACTGCAACCTCCAACTCCCGGGTTGAAAGGATTTTCCTGCCTCGGCCTCCCAAGTAGCTGGGATTACAGGCATGCGCCACCATGCTTAGCTAATTTTTGTATTTTTAGCAGAGGTGGGGTTTCGCCATGTTGGCCAGGCTGGTCTCGAACTCCTGGCCTCAAGTGATCTGCCCTCCTCCACCTTCCAAAGAGCTGTGATTATAGGCATGAGCCACTGCCCCCTGCGAAGCTGTATTTATTTTATGAAAAGTGCATAGCCTAGGTCTGACACGTAGTAGGTCCTCAAAAGAGTCAGGCATTTTTCCAAGCCATTCAGAAAAAAACAACTCCTAGATTTTACCAGCTTTCCCTCCCACAAGGCCAGTCTGTCCCAGCTGACAAAGTTGCCGGCTGTGCTGACGTGAGGAAAAGCAAGGGCCAGAGAGGGCCAGACACCCACCCTGGGTCACACAGGAGCAGTGGCCAACCTAGAATAGGCTAGGTCTCCTATCTACAGCCTGTTCATCCTTAGTGCCTCCCTGGTTTCCAGGCCCTGCTGGCCTGCCCTCTGACCCTAGCCCCCTGGGAGCTCTATCCCAGGCCCGTGGGGTCTGCAAATCTGGTCTGGATTAGACACGCTGGGAAGCAAACGCCAGCCCCGCCAGCCAGCTGCCCAGTGGGACCTGTGCTCACAGCTGCTGAGGCTCACAGGGACATAAATCATGGTGGCAGGAGGCTCGGGGGCTGGGACCACCTTAGCCTCCTAAGGGGCACAGGGGCCTGAGAGTCATGAGCAGAGACACCTGGGTCCACTGGGGATATTTTCCATCCTCTGTTGGACAAGCTAAAGCCAGGGTGCATCAGAGGGGGCCAGGACACCATTTGGCAGGCCTCGCATCACAGTAGGCCAAGATCCCAACTTCTTTTTAACTTTTCATTTTGCAATCATTTACAACATGCATAGAAGTGACCAAAGTGGTGTGCAGAACTCCCATATACCCTGTACGCAGATCCACCTCATTTTAAGTTTGTCATATTTACTCCATCCTTTTCTCTCACACACATATTATTTATTTTTCTTCTGAACCATTTGAGAGAGCACGTTACCTGCATCATACTTCTCTCCTCCTTAATAGTACTTCAGGATGTATTTCTTTTTTCTTTCTTTCTTTTTTTTTTTTTTTTTGAGATGGAGTCTCACTCTGTCACCCAGGCTGGAGTGCAATGGTGCGATCTTGGCTCACTGCAACCTCTGCCTCCCGGGTTCGAGCAATTCTGCCTCAGCCTCCCGAGTAGCTGGGATTATAGGCGCCCACCACCACAGAGTTTCACCATGTTGGCCAGGCTGGTCTCGAACTCCTGATCTCAGGTGATCTGCCCGCCTCGGCCTCCCAGAGTGCTGGGATTACAAGTTAAGCCACCACGCCCGGCCTAGATATCCTTCTTAAGCACAAGGATATCCTCTGACACAATCAGGGTGCCGTTAGCAAATACAGAAAATTTAAGTTTCATGCAATACCTTAATCTATTGTTCATATCCCAATTTTGTGTGACCATGTCTCAAAAAAAAAAATTGTCAACTCTACCAAGAAGGTCCCCTGTCACATTTTCCCCTCTGCAGTACAGGATCCAGTTCAAAGTCATGCATTGCATTTACCTGTTCAGGTCTAGACTTGATATCACAACTACACAAGGTAAAATATACAGTCATAAGAGACACAGATGGAGTTGAACAAAGACATCCATCTTCATATGCACATCCCCATGAACCAATGTTTCTAATAACACATCATGCTCCTGACTGTGTGGAGGTAGTTAAAAGTTAACTTGCCAGGTCAGGAACAGTGGCTCACACCTGTAATCCCAGCACTTTGGGAGGCTGAGGCTGGAGGATTGCTTGAGCCCAGGAATTTGAGACCAGCCTGGGCAACATGGTGAAACCCCCCCAAAATAAAAAATTAGCTGGGCATGGTGGTGCACACCTGTAGTCCCAGGTACTCAGGAGGCTGAAGTGCTAGGATTACCTGACCCCAGGAGCTGGAGGCTGCAGTGAGCCGTGATTGTGCCACCTGCACTACAGCCTGGGTGACAGGGTGTGACCATGTCTCAAAAAAAAAAGTTAACTTACCAAATATGCCATAGTCTTCAGCACTCTGTTTTGTAGTGCTTTATTTTTTAACCTAATAAAAGCCTCATAAAATGGAAGTGGCCTGGGACAATGAGGGGAACCTGAAGTGCTGTGGGTGCCCAGGGCTGGAGGAAGCGGCCCTGTGTTCTCAGCCCTGCTCAGCTCCAGATGCTGTGCAACTGTGGCCCATCACCACTCTTCTCTGAGCTTCAGGTTGCCATGGGTGACCTCCGAGGCCTTCCTGCCCATAATTGTGGAGTCAGAGAAGACAGCCCTGCCTGGCAGGGAGGGAGATTTGGGTCCTTGTTGTCTCAGCGGGGCCAAGGACCTGCTGGGGAACCACAGGCAGGTTGCCTTCTGTCTTGTCTCACTTTCTTCATTGTGAAATGATGAACTCTGAGATTATTATCGTGCTGATGCTTCATGTGTCAGGACTTGGGGGGAGAGTGTATCCCTTTGGGGTCCAAGGTGGCTTGGCTGAGTTGGTCATTCCAACCCCTTCAGTCTTGGATTTCTTCTCCCTGAGCAGCTTGACTCCTCTGGCTCTAAGTTGGCCTGGAGAAGCTTGGCTGACCTGGACCATCCTGGAGGTGATGGGCATACTGGGGGAGTGGACAATGCTAAAAACTGTTCCCCAGAGGAGGTGCCTATATATGCAGACCACACCTGTGCTTCTCCCCGGTCATGTGTGTGGGCTGACCTTGCAGCTCACAAAGGCTCATGGGCATTAACTGTCCATTACCAGGAAGATAGCAAGCTGCAAAATATGCATAATGGAGCACCATGCAGCTACAAAAAGGTATGCAACAGCTCTGTGAGCAACTGGGGTCTCCAAGAAGTATGGTTAAGAAAAAAAAAAAATCCAAGTGCAGAGAGGAGTGTGCAAAATGCTACCACTTGTATGGAAAAACAGTATCTATGTAACTTGCCTATATATGCAGACCATCTCTGCAGGAATCCATAGGATCCTGGTTACCTGAACATAGTAATTGCCTCTGAGGACTGGAGCTGGGTGGCTGAGAGAGAATACTTATTGTCAGTTTATTCTTTTTTGTGTCTCTACAAGGGAAAGAACCAGTATGGGTAGACGTGCAAGAGGGGCTGGCTCCTGGGAAGCTGCTAATTGCATTTCTTTTTTTTTTTTTTTTTTGAGATGGAGTCTCGCTGTGTCTCCCAGGCTGGAGTGCAGTGGCGTGATCTCGGCTCACTGCAAGCTCCGCCTCCCGGGTTCACGCCATTCTCCCGCCTCAGCCTCCCAAGTAGCTGAGACTACAGGCGCCCGCCACCACGCCCGGCTAGTTTTTTGTATTTTTAGTAGAGACGGGGTTTCACCATGTTAGCCAGGATAGTCTCGATCTCCTGACCTCATGATCCACCCGCCTCGGCCTCCCAAAGTGCTGGGATTACAGGCTTGAGCCACCGCGCCCGGCCTGCTAATTGCATTTCTTGATCTCCATGCTGGGTATACAGGTGTGCTCAGCTTGTGAAAACCCATTGATTTCAAGTACACCCTGTGCACTTTCCTGAATGTGTCTTATACTTCCATAAAAAGTGTAAACTTGGCTGGGCGCAGTAACTTATGCCTGTAATCCCAGCACTCTGGGAGGCTGAGACGGATGGATCACCTGAGGTCAGGAGTTCGAGAGCAGCCTGGCCAATATGGTGAAACCCCGTCTTTACTAAAAATACAAAACTTAGCCAGGCGTGGTGGTGCACATCTGTACTCCCAGCTACTTGGGAGGCTGAGGAAGGAGAATCGCTTGAACACGGGAGGTGGAGGTTGCAGTGAGCCGAGATCGCGCCACTGCACTCCAGCCCGGGTGACAGGGTGAGATCCATCTTAAAACAAAAAGTGTAAACTTAGCATGGTTTAAATGATTGTGTTGTGTATATGTGCGTGTTTAACAAAAATGCTGCAGAGCTGGGTGCAGTGGCTCACGCCTATAATCCCAGCACTTTGGGAGGCTGAGGCAGATCGCTTGAGCCCAGGAGCTGGAGACCAGCCTGCGCAACATAGTAAGAACCTGTCTCTACAAAATAAACAAATATATAAAATTAGCCAGGCCTGGTGGCATATGCCTGTATTTCCAGCTACTCCGCAGGCTGAGGTGGAGGATCACTTGAGGACAGGTTAAGGCTGCAGCGAGCTATGATCGTGCCACTGCACTCCAGCCTGGGTGACAGAGTGAGACCCTGTCTCAAACAAAACAAAACTTGGTGGGATTATAGTCTTCACTGTGGTTGTCTTTGGGATGAGTGATATTTCTAGAGTCTTGTAGCATTTTGCATTTATTTTACAATGAAAAACACAGGCAGGGAAACCTATAAATTTTTTTTTTCAGAAACAGTAATCAGTATAGAAGCTTTCTGGAAGGACACTCAGGAAGCTGCCTCTGGGGAGGGGCCTGAGGGAGGTCTGTACTTTTCACTGCATACCATTTGACACAACTTGGATTACTTACCAATGCAAACAGGGTATAGTAAAAACTATCTCACAAAGCAAAACAAATACTTATCTTTCTGTTCTAGCTGCTCTTACTAGTTAGAGATTGAGCCAGGGAGGCCCAGAGGGGTCAAGCAACATATCTGGGGTCACCCAGCAAATCTGGTGGCGGAGTGGGCCTCTAGCCAGAGCACCCAAGTGTCTGCTCTGCCCCCACTCCCAGGTTTCCTGCCATTGACAAAGCCACAGTCCTTTTCCTGTGGCTTTGCCAGAGGCTGGCTATACCTGGCCGGGGTAGGCGCAGGGAGAGCAATGTGCTTTCCTAATCAGTTCCCGAAGGGGGAAGCACAGCCGCGCTGGGACACAGGATAACCACGCCAGTGTCCCTGGAACAGCAAGGACGTGAGGTAGAGGGTGCTTGGAAAGCTCTCCTGGGTGGGGGACCCTGGCCCCCTGGGGCCCTCTTTCCTCTACTTCTCACACCAAAGGGGTTAAGCGTGGTGGTTTCATGGCCTGCTCCAGCCTAGGGACTGGCAATTCCACAACTCCCTTGATCTCCCCGGGCCTCGGTTTTCATCTGTGAGGAAGACCAGGTTGGTCGGGCTCATTCCTGTGGTGTCTGGCACAATGCCTGGCACACAGAGGGTATTGGCAATCTGTCAATTTGCAAAATGGGAGCCACAATTCAGGCTCAGAGGGTCAAATGCAGGGGAGTGGGTAGAGGCAGAACAGAGGGGATAGGAATATGGACTCTGGGGCCAGACTTCAGTCAGTAAACATGAAATGGATCACTTGAGCTCAGGAGTTTGAGACCAGCCTGGGCAACATAGTGAGACCTTGTCTTTAAAAAAATAAATTAAAAATAAAAGTGTTGTTAAATAAATAAACTGTTGAGATAGGCATATGAATGCACCTTACTGAGGAGAGGGTGGCTGCCTGGCTGCCCTGGCCTTTCCCTGGCTCTCACCCTCAGGCCTCTCAAGCTTCTCTGATCCTCGCCTCACAGGGACACAGCCCCAGCCTGAGAGCGCGAAGAACTCCTAGCTGCACTGATCAGCTGTACCCATCGCTGTCTCTGCTGGGTCTACAATGGGGGAGACACCAGCCTTCACCTCCCAGGGCTCCTGGGAGTGTAATCGGGGTAATAGGTGCTGGTTTTCCACCTGGGGCATCTCCAGGGCAGGGAAGGAGCTGCTCTGGGCTTCAAAGGTGGACGGACTCAGGGTGTCACCCTGCCATGTGCCTCTGGGTGTCATTGGTCTTCTAAGTCATTTCAGATAACACAGCGGTAGGAATATTCCCCTTTAGCATGCACTCATTTGCACCTGTGGAAAACCACATGCCTTGTTGGTGATAGCATCAAAGAGGGATTGAAGGACGGCACGTTCACAAAATGGAATAATAAGCAGCTCAGAAAGAAATGAAATACCCTTTAGGTACTGACTTGGGATGATACCAAGCTAGATTAAGGAAAAAAAGGAGCTGAAAGTGTGTACGATGTGCTGTCATTTGTGTATTTGCCTGATCATTCATAGCGAATGGGACATCACAGGAAACTGGTGCCCTAGGCTGCTTGCAGAGAGGAGAGCTGGTGGCCGGAGGACAGGGGCAGGGAGACTTTTCAACACATATCCTCTGGTACCTTCCGAATTTTGAACCATGTGAATGAAATGAACGCAGTCCTTATTCAAAAATAAATAAAATTAAGATTTCTTTACCAACCATACCAGACACCTAACAGTTGTTAAGAACATCTGATAAATAGCAGACTGAGGAAGGTTTGGTTATGGCTCCCGGAGAGGGGGCTCTGCCTGTCTTCCCCAGCCCCACCCCTCTAGGGCTCAGGGCAGCCCCTGGAACGTCTGTGCCTCTCTCTAAGTCCAGGGGAGGGCCCACCTCTGACCTCCGATGTCCACAGGTCCCCTCCTCAGCTCAGAACGACGTCTTTTATTTAAAAATAGCTTTTATTTTAAACTCACCAATTCTCTCTCTCACACACACTCACACTCACGCACAGACATACACATACACCCTCTGTCACCAACAGTCTGTGTTTTTCCAAAGTTCTGCCTTGTCTCTGACCAGCCAGAGCTGCGCAGGCTGAATGGATCCTCACAGTTCTCCAGGATCGGGTGGAGATGTCCCGAGGGCCCTGCCCAGAGTGTCCTGGACCCAGGCCATGGTCCCCTGGTCCCCACACAAAGAAGGGGTGGGCTCGGCTCCTGGGGTCTTCTTCCCTGTACAACCAGTGGCTGGCTCCTGGCCTCCTTCTCCAGGGTCCAGGCTCATCTCCGCGGCCCTCGAAGGGGGGCTACCCCCCTCACCTTCAAGCAGCTGCCCCCCAGGTCACGACGGCCACCCTGCAGAGGGGGAGAAAGAGTATAAGGAGGTTCGATCAGGCCAGTGTGAACACTAACCTCTGTATCCACCAACAGGGATCCTGATAAATAAATCACAGTTCAGCCACACGATCAAGTTCTCTGCAGCAGAAAGCAGAAGAAACCTTTTCTGGACTGATACGGACTGCTGCCGAATGACAATGTTATGACAATGTTTAAGGACAAAAGCAAGGGGCAGGCTGAATGCGCCTGTGTGCTGTGATTGCTGGAGAGAAGTGCACGTGGGAAATTGTGAGTGGGTTTCTTCAGAGAGGAATTTGATGATGGAGAGAGGATGAGAGGGAGGCTCTCTCATGCTATACTTTTTTTTGAGACAGAGTCTTGCTGTGGCCAGGCTGGAGTGCAATGGAGCAATCTCAGCTCACTGCAACCTCCGCCTCCTGGGTTCAAGGGATTCTTCTGCCTCATCCTCCCAAGTAGCTGGGACTACAGGCGACCACCACCACGCTTGGCTAATTTTTGTATTCACGCTATACTTTTTTACCATTTCCATTTCTTTCCCATATGATCTGTTGCTTTTAAAAAAAGAAAAGGATCCAATACATTTTAAAGCATAGTATTTTACATGGGCAAAACCAGCACACCCCACAGTGGTCTTCCCCCTGCCTGACTGCATGCCTAGTGGCTCACTCTTCCACCTTCAAAAAGGGGACTGGATTTCTGGCCTCCTTGACTTCCTTCAGGGCGTCCCCTTTGCCAGGAATGTGCTCTCAGGTCTTGTCTCCCTGGAAAGGTTTCTCCGTTCCTAAATTGCCTAGCACTTCCTGTCTTTCTGGGGACATTCCATGGGGACGAATCGCAGAAGGACAAGGCAGGGTCTCTCCTTTGTCCCACCTCTGGACTGGGATCTCAGGGAATGGTAGGGAAAAGGAGTTCTTCACTCTGTGGTCCCATTTCCAGCCTGGGCTCTCTTGGCCCAGGACCTGACTTGGAGCAGGCACCAATCAATGCCGACTGAATTAAGTGGCAGCCATTGGAAGATGGGCTAATGGTGGCAGTCCCTGAAATCATCAGTCCCTACAGGGGCTGTCTCTACCAGCTCTTCTCATTGATATTTTCAGACTGGACACATGTGTTTCATCCTCACCATGAGCCAGAGAGGTCACAGATGTTAGAGCACCCCCTCTTTTGCGGCCTCCAGCCACTGAGTGACTGGCCCAGAGGCACCCAGCCAGTTGTAAAAGAGCTGGGCTAGAAATCTATGTTGTCCAACAATCTGTCCTGTTTCCAGGACACGATAGTGTCTGAAATCCCACTGTAAATGCTCATCGCCCTGAGCCTGGCTAGATGATGATGGAACAGGCAGCTTTCTCAGCCCACTTAACAGAAACAGCTGACCATCTGGGAGCTCTGCCCCCTGCCCCCTCCACCCCCAGGTCCAGGTTGGGGCAGATCCATCCAGATGCGAGCCCAGCCTCCCTCGAGGCTCTTGCAGCCCAGGGACAACATGTTCACTCACAGGCAGGGCTATTTTGAGGGCTGAGGCCACAGTCCCAGCAGAGCCTGGGGCTTGGGCTTCTCAGACAAACTCTGGCAGGAGTGGCTGAGAAGGGCAGATAGGGGAGGGGGTGCAATATTAAGGTTGAATTAGAAAACTGGCCTTCCCCTCTTTAAGTCCTCAGGGACAGGGAGAGCTGCCCCCTTCCACCCCAAGTCTAGAGGTCATGTGGAGACCTGGGGTCCCAGAAGAATGCTGGGACTGTTCACCTCCCTGAACCTCGGTTTCTTCATCTATGAAATCGGGACAAAATGATTTTACTTGCCATCTCAAGGTGCAGTCGAATGTGAATGCAGCTGTGTAAGCTGCTAAGTGTGCTTAGAAGAGGTCCTGACAGCCGGGTATGGTGGCTCATGCCTGTAATCCCAGCACTTTTGGGAGGCCGAGGCAGGCAGATCATGTGAGGCCAGGAGTTCGAGACCAGCCTGGCCAAACATGGCGAAACCCCGTCTCTACTAAAAATACAAAAAATTAGCCAGGTGTGGTGGCTGGCGCCTGTAATCCCAGCTACTGGGGAGGCTGGGGCAGGAGAACTGCTTGAACCCAGGAGGCAGAGGCTGTAGTGAGCTGAGATCATGTCATTGTACTCCAGCCTGGGTGACAGAGCGAGACTCCGTCTCAAAAAAAAAAAAAAAAAAAAAAAAAAAAAAGAGGTCCTTACAAGACCCCAGTTTGTTTGTCCCTTAGGAACTTAGCACCAAGGGTCTTCAGGAAGCACCATGGTTAGGAGTTAGGTTTAAGTGAGACAGACCTAGGCTTTGATCCCTACTTTGCCAAGGGCCAACTACTGCACCTCAGGCAAGTGATTTCATCTCACTGAGCCTCAGTTTCCCCCCCCCCGTAAAGGGGAGTTACTTTATAGGATCACACAAGCTAACATAGGATTACACAGGCTAATCTAGGTAAAGCCTTGGTACAGTGTTGGGAATATAGTAAATGTTCATAAGTATTACTATCAGCATCATCTACTGAGAGTGCCTCCTGGTCCCAGCTACCCTCTGGGTATACCAACAGGGGAGAGAGAGCCTTACAAGATGATCCTGTCCGATCCCCACCCCCAGGTGACAAAGGGAAAACAGGGCAGAAACAAGAACCCCCGTTCCACCTCCCACTTGCTAATTCTACCACAGAGGGCCACACCTAACCCGTCCTTCAACAGAAAGATGCTACAGGGAACTGTTTCCACGGCAACCCCAACTCCAGACTGGCCAGGATGGGAGGGAGGTGGTGGCTCAGGTTAAAGGAACAGGGTGTTGGGTCTTAAAGCTCTCTGGCCCCCCCAAAGCTCAGAAGGGAACAAGAGCTCCCCAAGACAGCCAGTTTTCTTCCAGCAGAGTCTTCAAGGGGCCATAGCTGGCCAGGATTGCCCCTCTCGCCTATTCCCAGAGGAGACTGTGGGGTTGAGAGCATTGTTTCTACAGCCAAATTTGGCTGGGTTCTTGGTCCCATAGACAGATCCCAGGGAAGCAGCCAGGCCCAGGGGAGGTCCCTGTGAGCTGTGGGACAGGCCTGAGACCTGCAGAGAAGTCCCCCAGCCTGCCTGCTGTGGGGGTGGACACATGACAGTTACAGGGACTTACCCCTGTAACCTATCCCACGTCTCAACCAGGCAGGCCTGAGTTTGAATCCTGGTTCCATCACTGACTGTGTGTCTCTGCGCCACTGGCAGCTCCTCTAAGCAAGTGGGGATAACCGCAGCGCCTCATTCCTGGCTGTTGCCTGATTTTAATGATAACTCATGAAGAGTGCTTAGCACAGATCAGTGCTCATGAAGGCTGCTGTCACTGCTGTTACTGGCCATTGTGCTCCCCCTCTGCACTCCCGCCACTTTTAGCCTCTTCCCTCTTCCTTCTCTAGGTCTCAGCTCTTGCTGTATGCCCCAATCCTAGAACACCCTTTCCATCGGCCTGTCCCTGTTCTAAAGCATCCTTCAGAAATGTGACACAGAAACCCTGTCAGCACTCACCCTGGGTTGGGGGCTTCCTCTGGGCTCTGAGAATCCCTTTGTGCTTCCCCTACCCCATCATCAGACCACAGCATCCTCATCTTCATCTCCCTGCCCTGACCCTGGGGCTGCACTGTCAGGTCCTGACTGGTGGATGGGTAGGGACCTATAACCTGCTTCTCTGGGGTTCTCAGAGCCAACAGCAGGCAGCTGTCGGGTAGCTAAGGGTTGCTAACTGGAATGAATGGGTGAAAGGCACTCAGGGAGTATCCCTGAGGGCCCCTTCAGGTCTTCCCATCTCAGGAAGCCTTAAAGGCCCACTCCTGGCTTCTCAGCCCAGCCTGGGGCACTGACAGGGGCCCACAGCTGGGAGCAGTAGGGACCATGGAGAGGGTACAAGCCTGAGGCTAAGAAGACGGATTCAGGGCAACTGAGGCAGCCAAGTGTTGAGAAAGCAGGCTGGATGTCTGATGGGCCAGACAGAGGGTGGTCTCAGGCCAAGATGCAGAGGCCTCCGCAGAACAGGGTGGAGCAAGGGACCAAGGGGAGCTGTGAGAACCAAACAGCAGGGAGTCAGGGGCCTAACTCCAATTCCCCATGCCCTTCCACTTGGCCACCAAAAGTCAGTACTCTCTCATGCTCAGTTTCCCTGGATGCAAATGGTAGCTGCTGGAATACAAGTTGTTAGACAGGCTTCTTTACTGTAGGAAAAACCCAGGCCAGAAAGGCACAGGATCTGGGGATGAAGCAGGTTCCTTGGGGCCTGGGCAAGGTTTCAGCCAAGAGGCCACCTCTGCTGCCACACAGCCCCCGCCCACCCCTACTAGCCTGGTCCACTTCCTTGCCCAGGACACACTGCAGGAGCTGCACACCAGCTCCCTCCAGCTGAGCCAAGAGTGCCCTCTCCCAACACCACGTCCTTTTGGGGGCTGGGGGCTCTCAGGGGGCCCCTTCTTCACTCCTACTGCTCATCCGCTGGGAACCTCAGGCTCTCGGTTGGGGGTTTGTGGCGTCCTTTCTTCTCAGTCTCCTGCTCTTGGGTTAGATCTCAGGACAGGGGACAATTACTTCAAGGTGGGGGCAACACACACCAGGCAAACCTAGGGCGAGCACCCCAGCTTCCCAGCTGAGTAAATGTGGGCAGGTGATTCCATCTCTGATGCTCAGATCTTCACGAGGATAAAATGGGCAGAAAAACTACCTGCCTGAAGGGATTCTTGTGAAGGCAAAAAAGTGGATGTGGAGCGCATCAGCACAGAGGAAGACTCAATAAAAGATGGACTTTGTTATTCCGTCCTCATGCTGTCTTCCCAGCAGGAAGGAAGTACCAGCACACCTTTCGTTGGAGGGGATATCCCACACTGAGCAGTTAAATCAGACCCGAACTCTGGGTTTTCCTGCATCCTTTCTGTTTGGGGGACAGGACATTAAGTCAGTGGTTCTGTTCCACACCAGACCCTGGGCTTGGGGAGCCGCACCCAGCACAATTCCACGTCGCTTCCCCCTGGCCTCGTTGGGGCCCCTTCCCGGAGAGGCAACGTCCCCCGCCTACCCCGACCCAGTGGCCGCAGTGAGGGACGCAGCACACTCACCCCCTTGCGCTGGTTGCTGAGGCAGAATGTGCAGATGGAGCGCGGCTGGCGGCCGCCGTCGGCGGCGGTGGGGACGGCGCTCTTGGCACTGCCGGCGGCGCGGAAGCACGGCTGCCCGTCGTCGGCCGAGTCGCCCAGCAGCAGCACGTTGGCCAGGTGCGCGATGTAGCTGGATGCCAGGCGCAGCGTCTCGATCTTGGACAGCTTGCGGTCCACCGGCTCGGTGGGGATGAGCGTGCGCAGCGCCGTAAAGGCCGTGTTCACGCTCTGAGTGCGGTCCCGCTCCCGTGCGTTGGCCGCCTGCCGCTGTCGCACCACCACCACGGGGCCCGCGCCGCCGCCCGCCCGCCGCCCGCCCCCGGGGCCCGGGCCGCGCCGCGCCGCCTCCAGGCCCTCGCAGCAGCCGAACGACTGGTCCGACGCGTCGCTCTCGCTGCGGTTCTCCTCGTCCTCGCTTAGCAGCCGCACGTCCGGGTACAGCACGTGCGCGCCGACTGGCCGCAGCAGCGCGAACGCCATGGGCGCCGGCCGCGTCCCTCCGAGCTCCGCGTCCCAGCGTTGGCCGCGCCCCGCCGTGCGCTCCCGCGCGCTCCCACGGCCCCGCCGGCCCCCGCCTTATAGGCGAGGGAGGGGCCAAATGGCAAGGCCGCCCCGGCCGGGGGCGGAGGGCTCCGCCCGGCCAATGGGGAGGCACCCGCCGCACCCTGGCCAATGACTACGCGCCCACCGCCTCCGTTCCCTAGGTTGAAAGCGGCCCGGGAGCTGGTGGCCCACCCCGAAGGCTCCCATTCCGGGCTGGCTAGCCCGGCAGATGCTGGAGGTCTGGGCGAGTCTGCCGGGGTGGGCCCAGATTCGAACGTTTTGTCCCCAGCCTGGACCACCTGGGAGACGCGGGCAGGTCCCTTTCTCCTCTCTTGGACTCAGTTTCCTCATTCGGAACGTTCAGATTGCGGAGAAACAGCTAGTGTATTCCTGCCCTCAAATTCTAATCCTGTAGTTCTGCAACTTTCATGTGCGTAAGAACTGGGGAGGGGGCTTTTGCTATTACAGAGTCCCAGATTGCTCCCACTCTGATTAAGCAGTTCTGGAACGTGCCCAGGAACGTGCATTTTGTAACAAGCCATTGGTGATAGTGGTGGTGTCAGTGGAGAACACTTGGAGAAAAGCTATAATCTCTCCAAATGAGGATTCGATGGTGTCTTGTCCCTGAAGACAAACTTAAAAAAAAAAAAAAAAGCAAAACAAAACCACAACACACAAACACCAGTAGTTCGTTCATTTATTCAACAAATATTCGTTGGATCCCTACTATATGTCAGGCATGGTTTTAGGTCAGGATACAGCCATTAACAAAACAAATTTTTCACCCTCACGGAACTGATGTTTTGGTTGAGGCACTACCGTGTGCCAGACGCGGTGCTATATACTCTATTGAGCCCAGCTGAGGCTGCAGGATGGCAGCCCTGAGTTACAGGTAAGAGAGCTCTGGCCTTCAGTCATGCAGGTGGGAGTGGGGGCGCTAGCTCCAGCCTGTCCGGTTTCACTACTTCTTGGAATCCTACCACCACCATCCCATCGCGCACACACACGGGCTATCTTTCCTCAATGCCTGCCTTCCTTCTAGAAACCTTAGATTGTTCAGCCTGATGTGTCCTCCTCAGAGAACTGCTGAGCCAACGGTGGTTGCTGGGGTCTCCATCTCACTCGTGCCGGCTGCTCAGCTCTCTCCAGGCACTAGCTAAACCAGTATCCCACTTGGCCTTGAAAATAAGCCCGAATGGCAGCCCGTATAGCAGAGAGAACGCAGGGAGTGAAGTTGAAAGGCTCCTAGGTGCATTTTGGCTCCTCTGGGCGTCTGTTTTCCTGACGATGCCTGCAGCTCTGCCATGCTGTGCTTTCCCGGCTTCCCTGATCCAGGTCAGAACTGGGGGAAGAAGAGGGAACGAGGGGTTTCCCATGGCTGCCGGGGGTGGAGCCCCTTAGGATCCAGGGTCTGCGGGAGACTCTGTTCCCACACCTGGATTCCCCCACTGCCACCATTTGACCGTGACCCCAGCCAGGCTGGGCTTTGGGGAGGAGGAAGGCAGCCAGCATGGGCCCCCTCCCCGCAGGGCTGGTCCCACACACAGCCCCAGGCCAGGCTGCTGCTTCCTGAGCCGATGAATTATTACCGGGAGATTTCCTTCCCTGTCTGCGCCTCCTCACAGGGGCTCCCAGCTCACTTCACTTTCCCTTTCTCCCCCTTCTCCCCCTCCTCTCTGCTCCTGACCCTCAGGCAGCTTGAAATTCCTCTGTCCAGCCCCCTCCCAATTCCACCTCCAACTGGAGATGCCAAACAAGGCGTGAACTGGGCCGGAAGGCGAAGAGGGGCTTGCCTTGTAGGCTCATTCATTTATTCGCTCCTTAGGCAGATTTCTCGACACTTGGGACCCTGGGAGTAAAAGAAAACCATGAATGAGACTGAGACAGGCCTTCTGCAGCCGAGAGGGGAAGGCGAGCTATAAACAAAGGACTTCAAGACAATGCGGTAGGAGCAAGCCAGGGTCTGGTATCAGAGAGACCCAGTTCCGGTTCCAAGGTCAGCTGCTTCCCAGAGTCTCAGTTGCCTGCTCTGAAAATGAGATAATAATAGTACTCATACCCAGGGCTGGTGATGGTTCCATGAGTTTGTGCCAGTAGAGCTGGGGCCTGGCACACAGGAGTGCTCAATACCTGCGAGGAGTTTGTGCTACTGTTTTTAGGGGCTGGCCCCAGCCAACTGCCTGGGAAAGGGCTGAGCAGCATGGACTTTTCTAGTTCTTGTCCCTGGGAGTGCAGAGGGGACTCCTGCCACATTCTCAGCTCACCTACACAGGGGACCTCAGCTTCCCCCATTCTCTGTCCCTCACTCTGCTCCAGCCATACTGGCCTCCCCACTAAACCTGGAGCCCACTTCTTCCTGGCTCCCCGGCCCCTGATAGTCTCATAGTTTGTTCCCTCATTTCCTTCAAATCTTCACTCTATTCTTATCTCAGGGAGGCCTTCCCTGACCACCAGCACTAACAGTAATGGCTCCTCCCAACTGCCAGTATCCCCAGCTCTCCCTTTCCCTTTACCCTGCTTTATTTCTTTTTATAGCATTTACCACTGACTTTCATTCATTCACTTATTCATTCTACAAATATTAACTGAGCACCTGCTATGTGCTAGGCACAGTTCTGGGTACTGTGGATACAGCAGTAGACATGTTACATATTTATTTGTTTACCACCTATCTCCCTCCACTAAAGTATAAGCTCCATGGGGCAGGGACTTTGTGTGTTTGGCTTATCTCACTTCCTTCCCAACACAACCTTCTGAGGTAGTATTGTCATTATTCCCATTTTACAGATGAAGAAACAGAGGTTCAAAGAGGGGAAAGTGACTTGCCTGAGGTCACACGGTGGGCCAATGTGGGAGCTCAGATTGTTCTGACTCCAAAGTGGTTGCTCCTTCCCTAACCACATGGCTTCTGAGGGAGCCTAGAGGTCTGTGAGGGCTGAGTAGGAGTCTGCCAGATAAGAGGAGATAGGTATCACAGGCTGAGAGGGTAGAGGCTGGCCCCTGCCTCTCTGACCATGGGCACCCTTCACTCCCACAAAAAGCATTTGTTTCTCAGAGGCACCCACTGTGCTCATCTCTGAGCCTGTGCTCCAGCTGTCCTTCCTGCCTGGAATGCTGTCCCTTTGGGTCTGAGCAGACATGCCTAGTCCTCTGCCAGTGTTCAGAGTAGCAGATGGTGAAGGCCTCTTTGCCACTTTTTCCCAACCTTGTTGCAAAGTCTTGTTGTGTTCATCACACCATATTTTGACTTTTCTCTCTTCATCCATGATTCTCATTTCCATTTCCCTCCCCTCACAGGACACCCACTCGAATATCTCTGATGCATGTCTTTGGATATATATGTGTCTTTTTTTTTTTTTTTTTTTTTTTTTGAGACAGAGTCTCGCTCTGTCGCCCAGGCTGGAGTGCAGTGGCGCAATCTCGGCTCACTGCAAGCTCCGCCTTCCGGGTTCACGCCATTCTCCTGCCTCAGCCTCCTGAGTAGCTGGGACTACAGGCGCCCGCCACCGCGCCCGGCTAATTTTTTGTATTTTTAGTAGAAACGGGGTTTCACCGTGGTCTCGATCTCCTGACCTTGTGATCCGCCCGCCTCGGCCTCCCAAAGTGCTGGGATTACAGGCGTGAGCCACCGCGCCCGGCCCTATATGTGTCTTTATAAAATGTGCATGGTGTTGATTTGTGTGTGGGGGTTGTTAATGTACATAAATAGTAGTTTCAATAGATCTGTGTCATAGGCTATTTTGTTTCCTCGACACTGCTCTGTGTGCTGAGTCCAGCTCAAGTCCCTTGCTTCCCACTGCTGCTCAGCATGCACGGTGTGCGTGTGCCACCATGCCTCCTTTTCCCACCGCTTTCGTGACGGATGCTGGCTAGCTCCAGTTCCCACCTCCCCAAGCAAAGCTGTGAGGGACTTGCAGTGTGTGACTCTCATAGACTCCTGTGTGTATTTCTCTGGGATATCCCTCAGGGGCAGGATCCCTGGGTGGAGAGAAAACACACAGTTACTGCACTCTGTGACGGCTGCCTCAGTCTACATGACCAGCAGCAGGGCACGAGGGACCACTTTCTCCACCTGGACCCTGGCACTTGGAATTATCTGACTTCCTAATGATGGAGATACGGGTTGTTTTCCATCTCATTGTGCTTGCCTCCCTCACGGCGTGGGCAATAATGAATACTTGTTGCACTTTGGGAGGCCGAGGCAGGCGGATCATTGAAGTCAGGAGTTTGAGACCATCCTGGTCAACATGGAGAAACCCCGTCTCTAGTGAAAATACAAAAATTAGCCAGGCGTGCTGGCGCACCTGTAATCCCAGCTACTCAGGAGGCTGAGTCAGGAGACTCGCTTGAACCTGGGAGGTGGAGGTTGCAGTGAGCTGAGAATGTGCCACTGCACTCCAGCCTGGGCAACAGAGCAAGACTCCACCTCAAAAAAAAAAAAATATATATATATAATGAATACTTGTTGCATGATTGAATGAAAAGGCTAATACACAGCCTCCCAGGTTTACCTTGTACCAAACCTCAGTCTAGAAGGTGGCAGTATATGTGTGTATGTTTGTGTGTGGAGAGGGGAATATAAGACAAAGTCCTATGCCTCAACCTAGAGAAAAAGACTAATAAGAGTTAGAATCTATTGAGGGCTTACTTTGTGTCAAGAATTCATAGGTGTATATTCACAACCTTAACTTGAGTTAGACAAGGTAAAATGCATTTCTCTCTCACATTCAAGGCCTTTGGAGGTAGGGCTGCTCTGGCATTCTGTGGTGTGGTCGCCGGCCTCCAAGATTGCCAGCAATGATCCTTGCCTCCTGGCATTCATCTGTGTGTGTAGACCCCTCCCCCATTGAATCAGATTTGACTCATGTGACCAAAAGAATATGACAGAAGTGACAGTATGTGACTTCTGAATCTAGCTCATAAAGGCATTGAGCTCCTCCCTTTTTCTTTTGAGTCATTTACTCTGGGGACAGCAGCCACCATGCCATGAGGACACTCAAGCCATCTGCGGAGAGGGACTAAGGTCCCTAGC